GTGCAATGAAGAGCAGAGCAACAAGATGGCTTCTGCCCTCAACTGATGTTAAAGACAAACTGTTGCAAAGAACATCATCTATAAAAAATAAATTCATGTTTATAATGCAAAAATCCCTCACAGTTAATGTTGCCATTTCACTGATGAAAGAGAGGGTGAATACCTCTTACCTCGCTTGTCGGTCCAGCTCCACCGATGTTTTCTCTCAAGGCTGTTCATCTTTGAACAGACTGCAGAGCAATTCCTAGTTCTCCTGGGTGCACAGCCTGCACAGAGCTGTCTTCTGTATCAGAAGTTGTCCTACGGTGCAAGGAGCTCTTTCAAAGCTGTCACACAAGAAGCTGTTTTGAAGGACTGTGCATGTGTATGTGAGGCTTCGGTGAGCACCAAGTCAGGACCAGATAGGCACAGAGCTGCTGATCTTGCAGTGATCATAACTAGCAGGTCTTCAGAGTGCTCTCTACCTGGGAAAACTGTCCTCTTGGTGGCCATCTCCACAGCTTCTGCATCATGTTAGCACACCAGTATGAACTATGCTTTTCCGAAACATCTTGCTGCCCTCACATCTGAGCTTGACTAACAAGCTCCGCTGCCCACCTAATAAAACCCTTTGAGCAGTCTCTTTCAAGAGTTTTTGAGTGAAATCACGAAGGAAGTGGAGTATGGAAGAAACACAGAACAAAGGGGAAAACTCCCATGGACATAAGCCAGCCCATATGTCATCATATGGGGTGGAGGAAAGGAGGAGAAGTTAGAGCACACATGCCTAGGGACCTGCAATGATATCAGCACTATCAAAATCCAAGCCCAACTACCCAGGCATTAAATATATCCTAACTGCGAAGTAGATACACCAAGCCTGAACAAAGTGAAAGAGCTTTGCCACACATCCCAACCACGGAAGCAAACCCCATCAAAGCCCATATGACATGAGGCTACTCTGAGAAGACTGTAACTGAGTTTGGGCTAATAACAAGACAAGAAATGAGGATGAGCCCAAAGGTAGGCACATTGACACACATCCATGTACTCTCTGCAACTCACTAAGCTGTTTAGTCCATAATTAAGCCCATCACACCCTTAACATCCCTCTTTTCCCCACAGCTCATAAATATTTACCCTGCCTGTGACTATTTCACAGGAATTTTTAATATAGTCCAGTACTTTTGTTAGATGTGCAATATTTTAATAAACAATCAAAATCAAACTATACCTATTAAGACACAATAAGAAATTAATTTTGTGAAGCCCTGATGTTGCTTTAACTTTTTAGTTAGTTTCTCATCAATTCAAAAAAATTTTGGATAATGAGTATGTGATACATCCATGTAAATTGGAGGTTTTGTTGTCAATGTGCATGTAACAGACCAGCTCTAGGCAAAGGAGGACGCACAGAAAAGATACATCAGGTGCACACATGCGGAAACACAATCAAAAAGCCACACATTCCTGATTCTGCAAATGAGAACAACAGCTCCCTAACAGTTAAAAACACATTTCCACTTCAGATAATGGGCATTTTGCCACTGGCTTTGAGAGAACCAGGACCCTACTCCAGAGTTCAATCAAGATCTTATTGAAGTCAGTGGAAAAGTCTCACGAGAAAACGGTGGACTGCCACATCACTTTGCACTGCTCTTTAGTGACTCTTGAAATGAAAATTTTGGCAAAAGTTGCTGATAACTAGCTCTGCTGCTTTTAGTACTGATGCAGTTACAGTTTCCCTTTTATTGCACTTTTCAGTATAATTTTACACCAGAAACTGTGTGTTTGTGCGTGTATGTGTGAGAGAGAGTGTGTGTGTGCGTGCATGAGATAGATGGCAACCCTTTTTTAAGCATGGCACATGAAAAGATGCTATCTAAAATAAGACTTGAACAAAACTATTTCAGACACCAGTGCAAAAAGATACTTGTTTACCTTAACTTCAGCATGACTCCTCATGCAATTAATCATACATATGGAATATTTGACACAGAGATAATATGCTACACACTGCCGTTATAAATAAGGGTTTATGTCACACGTAAGGACCTTCACAGCTGCCAAGCAGCAAGTGCAACACAAGTCACGTGGACTGCACAGCCATAGAGCAGATTAACATAAATATCTTTTCAGAGAAGGAAAAATGTAAGAATCACCCATTGTAAATGAGGAATTAAGCCCTACTAGTCCATCCTTCCCTTACCTGAACACCTCCTATATCTTGGCGAATGGTCAACCACTAAATTAAATGAAACAATGATACCGTCTTCAGTGTAGAAAACACTGAGGAAAATAAAAAACACCACCACCACTGCAGCACAGAAAATGAAATATCCTCACTTATCTTTCCACCATTCCCAGAGGACAGAACCCAAATGAAGTCATACACCACTTACTTCACTGAACTACGTATCTGCATCAACAAGACGCAAATAGGAAGTGATGGCAATGCTATGCTCCAACTTGCTGACTTCTCCACGCTTGACAAACGAAACCAGACAAGGGCAATAGCATGATCTCAAGAGTCAGCTCAGTAAAATGCAGAGAGAGAACAATTTATTCGTTCATTGCAATCCTGTCTGCAAAAGCAGAATGCTTGCGTCCTTCTGTGAGTTTCTTTTTTTTCCCAATGTCAGCAGTAGCTTACCATGCTCATCATGAGGCTTGAAAGAGGCACCTAGACACATCCTTTGAGCAAGGGAGATGGTATATAGCTGAATATGCTCCAGTGCACAACCCAGAAACCAAGAAGCTTCTAAATCTTTGGCAGCAAAGGTAGTACACATCTGGTCAAGCCATAGTTTGAGGACTGCAAAAGCAGATAGTCTACAACCCATCTGCAGCATACACATGGGAATCTGTGCACATCTCTTCACTCCTAACACATATCCATAACAGGACAGTCTGGCTGACAGAGGTAAATGGGACATGGGGAACGGAGAGGAGAGACCATGACCATGATGTACAATCAGCACAGTGCAAGAAAAAGCACTTTTCCTTCAGTTTTTCTCTCTCACCCTACTTCGATAACATATTACCAAAATTTTCCTTTTCCAGCCCTAAAACCTACCCTTCCGGTGCCTGTCATGTTAGCATGCCGAAGGTATAATTAGGATTTATAGCAGTTCTGTGCAAGAATTCTCTGCTGTGGGTGAAAAAGCTAGAAGAAATGTGCAAAGTTAATCCTCTTCTAATTACTCCAGAAATCTGCATGCTAATGTGATATCATAATAATTGGGATTGCAAACTAATTAAACTGTGTAAACGCCTGCAAGAGGGAGCAAAATTTGCACACTTGGAATGTGCTTTGACTGAAAACATGTGAGTAGCCCCACTGAAGGACTGTACTGCTGATGTTCTGCCAGTACTAAAAACGTCAGTGTAGACAAAGTCTTTGTCCTTTCTAACCACAGAAGCACAGAAAAGTAGGGTTGGCAAGGACCTCACAACATCACTTAGCCTATCTGCTGCAAGGCAGGACTGACACTACTTATGTCATTCCTGGCAGACTGTAGTCTAATCTGTTGTTAATGGCCTCAAGTGGTGGAGACTCCACAACCTACCCAAGCAGAGACCTTTTCCTAGTATCTGACTTGACTCTTTCCTACTGCACTTTAAATCTGTTACTCTTTACCCTTTGGCACACACAGCAGCTTATTCCTCATATACCATTATTCATATACAATTATAAGCTATTATCATGTCCCTCTGCCCTTGACTTTTTTTCTGCAGGCCAACCAATCCCATTCTTTCTTCAGAATTGATGCTATCTAGAGCTGTGATCGTTCCCATTGCTCTTCCCTGAACTTCCTCCAACTGTTTATTCTTGAAGTGCTGTGCCCAAAACTGGACACTGTGTTCCAGCTGAAATATTTCCAACACCAGGGCATGTCTTGCATGTTCTCCTGTTTAGATACCCCAGTAAAACGTTAGTATTTTCAAAACAGCCTGACATTAGTGACTAATGTTCAGACCATGATTCACAAAAAGCTCCACACAGTTTTTCAAGGAACTACCAAAACTGCAGAACCGTCTTATCATTATAAAGGTATTCTTCCTGCATAGGAAGAACAGTAGAAGTACACTTCTCTGCACTTTGCTCACTGACAATCCATCCTGCTTTTACTAGAACGTTTCTACAACCTGCCAGCATAATTCTGAATTCTAGCCTTGTCTCACAGTGTTTTAGCAGCCCTTCCCATCTTCATGTCATCTAAAAATTCAACATTTATACTTTATTTCACCACTGAGGTCATTAATGACAGTAATGATGAAAACCAGACCAACCCTTCACACACTTCGATATATCTTTCCATTAGAATAATGGACCATTGATAACTGCTATTTGATATGGGTATCCAATCAGTTCTGCATAGACTCCATAGTAGTTTCACTGAAGACAGGTTTCCCTTGATTGTTTATGAAACTGTCATACACATTAACGTCAAAAACGTTAGTAGAAGTCAAGCCGTTTGGCCTCTGTTGTGCCTTCCCTAAGTACAACACTTCCTACTCAGTTGCAAAAAGACATTTTCAAGTTTTTAAAAGTCACACTGGCTGCTACTGAACTCCTTGGTCTCCTTCAGGTGCTTACACATAATTGGTTTGTTCCAGTTTTAAAAAGAACAAAATAATTTACCTGTAATTCTCTTTTACCTCTTTATAGACATTATGCTTTTTCTTTCCCACTCTTCCAGCACTTGACCTGTCTTCCCCAAGCTCTCAGAAGTAACTACAAATGCTTCTGAGATTGCTTTAGCCAATTCCTTAAGTACCCTAGAATATAGTTGATCAGGCACAGCTGATTTGAACATATTAAATATGTCTGAATACATTCTATCCTGTTCTTGCCCTTTTTTAGCTTGTGATTTTACCCGTAAGTGTGTGTGAGGGTGCACCTAGTATGACCCAAATGCATCAGTGAGACTAGTTCTGATCCCCAAGTTAAAATTTTATATAATTTCTTGTCCTCAGGTCAAGCTATAGATTCCTTTAAATCATAAAGCACCTCATACCTTCGTTCATTGTCATCAAGATGAGCAAAGAGAACGTTCTTGGAGATGGCCTTTGCCAGAGCAGTCATAGTTTTATAGTCCTTTGGAATAACCTGTAGAGAAAAGAAGGAAGGGTAATTACATGCCTGGTTGTATTTCTTCATAGGTCTTGAAATCTATAGAAAATTCCACTATTCAAGATAATGGATGCAGTTTGATTTCAAACCAGGTTTAGGCTATAATATAAAGCCACTAGGAAAGTAATTACAGTTTTAATAATGTGAGGATAAGAATTTATGTTCTCAATATGACAAGCAGAAAAGAAATATAAGATCTAGGATGAGTGCGGAGAAGGATATCCATAAAATACTATAATTAGCAGGTACTGGCAGCTATATAGTCTCCTTTCAAATCTCTTGGACTGAGGAAAACATGTTTCATATTCTTCTTCCCCCACAAACAATATCAGAAGCAACCTAGTTTTAAAACTAGGGAATGACCAACATTTAGAATCATAGAATCATAGAA